CAAAATATGAAAGTAAAAGTAAAAATATTCCTAGAAAAATATTCCAGACCTTTGGATAAAGTTTGAAAGAGAATGAAGTTGAATAAATAGATGAGCTCATACTCATTTGAGATGACTTAACAAATGTTAAGTGACAAAAACAGAGACAAAACCACCCACTTCTTCTTCTTCTTCTTCAGGGGAGGCTAAGACTGAGGGAGAGAGGAAACCATTGATGAAAAGCTCCAAACCCCAACTTCCTTGATTCTCAACCAAATAAACTCATTCCAAAGCCAAAACCACTTCAAATCTCCTCCTCTTTCTTATTCCTAACTTAGTTTTGAGTGGGAACCATTGTGGAGGGAGATATTGCTTGTGAAAGGGGGCAAAAATTTGGTATTGGTGGTGCTTGAGGTGGAGTCTTGCATTCTTGTGGTTTGGAACCCTCACCTTGGACCATTGTGGTTGGATTGTGGATTGAGGCAATTGGACCATCCTTGAGTGACCGACCATTGGAGGGAGCCATGGAGCTTGAGTAGCTCATTTGGATTGGGTGTATTGGTGATTGGAAGGAATTGCCAAGTGGACATACCAAGAAAGGTTGGTGTGGATAAGTGAGCTAGAAGAAAGCTTGCAAATGAGGGGAAACATCAAGATGTAAACCTTTGGATCTTGGAGGTTAATCCCTCTTGTTGTTCCACCATTGCTTTTATGGAAGTAATGGTTAATGAATGGATGATTGAGTGGTAATGTTAGTATTATGGTATGTTTGCATTCATGTAGTATTGTTGTGTCGTTGGAGAAAGAGCCAATGGACAAGCACTAGGGGCTAGGTTGTATGCTTAGTGGAAAGGACTAAGATGCAACTGAAGCATGTGTGATGATTAGATTGTTTAATTTTGTGGCCATTTGAATGCACGAGTATGCTGTAATTAAATCATTACTGTTATTGCCTCTGAATATATGATGTAGTTCATGCCATGTGTATACTAACCCTTCATGCAAGAAGTGAACTCTGGGATTGGAGAAACTCTCCAAGAACCCTGGGTTTATTGAGTTTATCTCACCCCGTTTAGGGAATGCTATTTCAAGTACTAGCATGGATAATGCGGGACGAGGCAAGAGGCCTGAGTAGAGGGCACATGATAGCTTGTCATTTTGGGATTGTATATCATCTAGGATTGTTAGATGCATGCGCCATTTACATCATTATATGTTTGTGTATTTTGAGGCCATATGATGTAATATATATGATGTTATGTTGTTATAATTATAGATTGGTGCAAGGATTATTTAAGGGATTAAAGATAAATGATGGGATGTAAAAGCCACAATATATGTTGGATATTGTTGGTCATTCCTAGTCTATTAGGTGTTAAGAGAATGGTGAAAGAGGGAGGAATTTTCTCATGAAGTTATGTGAAAACAGGGAGGGCATGTGTTGCCCATTTGGAGAGCACTTTAGTGCTGATAAGGGCGCTAAAACGCGCTAGGTTCGTGAAATAGAGGAAGTCTCTGCCCTTGGGCGTTTTAACGCGCAAATGGGCGCTAAAACGCACAAGTGGGTGTTTTAACGTGAAAGTTGAGCACTAAAACGCGCTGAAGGCCTGGAGAAGGCCAAATTCACTGCCTCTGGGCGTTTTAACGCCCAATTGGGCGCTAAAACGCGCTACCCGAAAAATCAGCAAAAACATAGTTTAGTAAAACCGACATAACTTGAGCTATGGTGCTCCGATTTGAGCGCGGTTTGAACCCACTTGAAGCTAACAAGGAGATCTATAACATAGTAGGAGATGAGAACTATAGAGGAAGTATAGAATTCATATAATCATAAAAGATATGAAGATGTTTAACAACGTGTGGTCTAATAAAATAAGAATATGATGTTAAGCTTAGTTTCATTTATTCTGCAACGTCATATGGTTATGGTCACATAATTGGTTATTTTAAATTCGGCTTTTTTCAAAAAGAAAAATTTATCTAGATTTCTAATTGAACCAATGTGATTGTAACTGCGCTTAATATTATATGCAATGTTAACAAACTGGTTCTAGAACGGAATGTTACATATTTAGTATTGAAGAGATGTATAAAATATCGAGTGATGAAGAAGAAAAAAGCTCTCACCTTCAACAGTAATCAAATGAAGAACAAGCTCCAAGACTAAAACCTTAAACCAAAACCTAATAAAGGAGGAAAACTTAGGAAACTCGAAGAGGAGAATGAAGAAGCTATGAGGAAATGAGACGCAAAATGGGAGCCAATAGTGCAAACGAAAGATATAAAGGCGCGAATTTGAAAAGATGATTGCAAAGTTGGGGGGAAAGGGTCAATCCACAGGGGAAAATGTGTGATAGGGGAGTCTCAGTTGCAGCCCATCATGAGGCACGCAACGTGAAGTTTGTCAATGATCTCCAACGCACATCTAGCCAACAAAAATGCACACGTGTAAAGTTGTAACCGTCAAAAGGAAACAAAAGAAGCCAAGGGTCAGCTAAGATAACACGAGCTCGGGATCAACCTGGGAATACAACTCTTACTAGACGACACCAAGTAAGAACACAGTTAGCGCATCCATCCAAATAAGCACCCCCAAGCCTAAAGAATTCAAACATCGGCCCGTGGCCAACCATAGGAGATCGAGCACAATTGAGACGAATTCAGTACAAACAAAATGGCTAAATAACACTCGTCGGACTAAATCTCATCCACCATTGACAAGCTCACCTAATACAAAAAATGTACATTGCAGTACGGCCTAGAAAGCGACAAACGAGGCCTACAATACAAGCAACTTGGCCATCAATGCCTAACAGAGCATGCTACTTCAGCCTAGCTATTCGAACTCTTAAACTACTGAGTTAGAGGGAAATTGTTCTGGACCTAACCTACGGGCCCCACATCTTCTAGAAGGAAACCAAATAAAATAATTTCTATCCAAATTATTAGAGGATCTCATCCATGATCTCATCCACTAAGACTTTGAGTCCTATTCAAACTCTCACATCTTTAGCTAAACCTTTTTTATAAATAAAGGGTTAAGTCTCACATGTACACATCTTATAATCCATACTCCTCTTAATTGTCATTGTATACACACCACCTCTTTTGGTTTTAAGCTTCTTAGTGCATAATGATCTGTTACCCCTTGTGATTGTCTCTTCTGTAGACACCGTGAGCATATAGATCTTACATTTATCATGATTCCCTCGGATCGAAGAAAAAATAATGCACACAATCTCAGTCGTTGATTCACTTGAAATATCTATTAAATTAAAGCTTTTAACATAAGTAAGATTAACAAGTATGATTAATATTATAACTTATTGTATAAAGTTTAATTACTAATTGTTTAACGGGGGTGTATTGGATTGGGATTTCAAAGAATTTTAATGGATTATTTTTGGACAAAAAAATTCATTGGTATTCAATCAGGATTTTAAAGGATTGAAAAAAAGTCATATGATATTCGATTAAGATTTTAAAAGATTATTTTAGAGTCTGTCCAAATCTGTTTGTATGCAATCAGGATTTTAAACAAAAAAAAAAAAAAACAATCTTGTGGTATTCAAAAATTTGACGAATTTAATGGATTTTTCATTGGTGTGGATTTTGTGAGACTTTTTAATGAGAAATATAAATAGGATGCATCTCTCACAATCTCACCCTAACCCTAGGATTCCTTTGGCGAGTCGACCCACTCGAATCCAGGTTCCACCATAGGAGCTTCGTCAAAGCTTAAAAACAATAAATTTTTAAGCGATTTTTATCACAAAAATAACCCAGACACAACAAACCAACAAGATTTTAATATAATACATCTCAAAAAAATATTTTTGAGTGATTTTTTTTAGAGTTTTAGGAAATTTAAAAAATGATTTTTCAAGCTATTGATCGCAATTTTTCTTGGCACAAAAAATATGTGATTTTTGTATTAAAAACAACATAAAACAATGGAAAAATAACAGAGAACGAAAACCCCTAAACCAATTATTATTTTACATTAATGAAACAAGATCGATTTAAAGAAAGATTGAAACTTTTATAATATGAACCCTTTCATAACAATACATCCATGAAAGAAATTCTTTCGCTATAGGAAACGATTTCAAATAATTTTTTGCCAAGAGATCACTAAAAACTTATTTTTGAAAAGCCCGAAAGCAATTTAAGGTTTCAATGTATTGATTGAAAATAACTTGAGAAATTTTATAAACTTTAATGTAATAAAACCCAAAAATTAAGATTCTAATTTTCTTGGAATACCCAATAAAAACATGCATATGATATATGATTAGAAAACTCTCCCACGTAGAACAAAAACTCTAAAGTTTACAAGATCAATTGCAAAAAATTCCAAACAAAATTTTATCATGAATTTTACTAATTGAGAAAATAATATTAAGTTTTACTTTTTTTATTAATATAATTGTATTTCTTTTCTTTTTTTGTTGACTGTTGTAATTTATATTTGTTAAAAATTCATATGATTTTTTAAGATATTATAAATCTATATTGTCCTTTCAAATCTTATAAATTTAATCTCATGAATTCTTGATTGTAAAAAGATTCTTTAAAATCTCTTCAATTTTAAATAGTCTTTTAAAATTTAAAAAAATTTAGAGTAAATACTATTTTCGGTCCTCAGCAAATTTTATGTTGTCCGCTTTAGTCCCTAGCAAATAAAAAGGCTATTTGTGGTTCTTAAGAAATTCGAAGTGGATCAATTTTAATCTTTTTGAGGGACTAATGTGGGTCTTTTTTTAATTTGTGAGAGACTACGATTTCAATTAAATAGGTCTATTTTGAATTTTTTAGGTATCACGAATAGCCTTTTTTTTGGTGAAAAATAATATTTTTATTTACTATGGACTAAAGCGGATATCGTAAAATATTTGACGAGGACAAAAAAGATATTTACTCGAAAATTTATCTAATTGTTTTTTTTTTTTAATTCTAATCGAATAACCCCGTTGCAACAAATAAACGGAACACCTCCGAGGCCCAATTTCAAAACAAAGCAATATACATTCAGACCGCAGAGGGTGATGTGGTTGAGTCTCCGAAAGAGGAGAAGAGAAAGGTGAGGGGGCAAAAAACAATACATGCGTTTCTCTGCTGCTTGATGATCCGATCCTCTGTTTAATGCGGTTAGGTTTCCATTTTTCTTTTACTTCATCGTTATTTCAATATCAAATTACCAAAATTCTCTCTTTCTTTTAGTTTTATGGTTCAATATTATATAACCCAACATTTATTGGTCGATATTAGGCTGGATTTGTTGGTGGAATGGTAACCCCTTTTTGCAAAACTAAATAGGGCAATGAAATCAATGAGCTTTTGATCTCATGTTACGTTCTTCCTCTATATTCATGCTTGTTATATTATATTGTTGTGTTTGGTTGGAGCAGAAAGCACACATTTTCTTCAAGGGCTTTTATTTGCTCTTACATAAATGGGATATGACTGTGTTTGTGTTGTTATAGGGGTTAAAGTTATTGATTTGATTTCTTCTTGTCATTTTCGTCTTGGGAGCCTAACGCTATTTCAATGGTTTTTTTCTTTTTTCTTTTTCTGTAGGAACAAGGTGGATATACTTTAGTGATCTGTTACAATTGAGAAGACCTCATAAAGCTATTATCCTAGACATTTTGTAAGGTATGCTATATAATAGTTTTGAGGTTCATAGATGTTTGTTTTTCATTTCCTAGTTGCTTGGAATTGGAACTCATGATGTAAGTTGTTTGGTGTTTGATGTGATGGGAAACTGTGTATTGCCTCCAACTTTGCGAGATTTCCAATTTGTTATTGAAAGGTTTTTAACAAGAAAAAAAATAGAGTATATTTTCTGCAGACTTACTTTGTTTGGCATAGTTTGGTCTTTACAGACAAAAAACTCAAGACGTTTTAGAAAACACAAGTTAATTTTATTTGCTGTGGGATAAAAAATATTCTTTGTTACGCTCATCATTTAATTTTCTTTCTCTTATACGTATATGTCATCTACCTATTTCTTTCCAGTTTCATCCCTTTACGGGGCACAACCTTGGTCTCTCCTTCATTTTCTTCATTTTTACTGATAAATGACGCCACAATTCTAGGTATGTTTCAATTGGTGGATTTAAGTTTAAGGAAATTCAATTTGAAACTTTACTACAACAAAGCACTGGGGTGGCGCTTGATTTTTTATGGACTTCATATTTAGATTTAAGTCTTTGATTTAAGTGAAGTTTACTGTCTTAGACAGGGTTTTAAATCACCGTTGCAAGTCATGTTTCCGTTCGCAATATTGCACTTTTGGAGGTCTTTGCAACCACATCAAAACCTCAATATTTCCCCGTAATTATCCTAATTTCTATAACAATAATGCAGCTTCCACTGCAATTTATAACGTTTCTCTCAAATCCTATTATTGCATTATTTTACCATAATGTGGAGTCCTTTCAGTTCTAAATTTCTTTCCCACCATAGATGAACTGTCAAAGTGCAAAGACTATCAAATGCTTTAAAAAAGATATTACACAAGTAGAGATATGAAGGCATGTATAATGTGATCCATTTTGTTGCATCTGTTAATCTGCTACAGCACTCGAGGACATTTTACTCCATCTAGTGTTTTTTTTTTAATTATTTGTACTTTTCATTTGGATTCATCTGTCACCAACCCCAACTATTTCGGGATAAAGATGATGTTGTTGATGTTGATATTGATGTTTATGTTGTTATTTCCTTTGGTATAATTTCTCTGATTTTGTTTCTTTCCTGGACAATGTCAGTGATGAGCAATAATTTTTCTTTGGGAAGATGCATGGATTCTCCACTGCTGATGGTTTTGTGGAGATAAGTGATTCCTTGGCAGAGATGATTAAATTCGCGGCTAATGAACCATCTGTTGGTCTTTACTTTATCCAACAGCATACTCAAAACGCAGTGCCCAATGTCATCAAACTTAAGAACAATGTTATTGAAAAGTCTCATGAAACAACCTTGCATGCAGAAGATTTGGAGGACTCTGTCTCAATGGTAAAATCAATGAAAGAGTGTGGATTTCCCATAGCTGATGAGATGATTGGAGACATTAAAAAATCTCTGATAACTATGACAACAGAGCAACCAAAAAGTGGGCTAATCCGTATGTCATCGACATCAAATTTTCAGACAGAGAGAACTAGTTTTTGGGGTAATTCTGCAGTTTATGCCCAGGAGGGTAGCGAAAAAAGAGGTAACTATTTTTCAAGTGTTTTTAAGTTTTCGAAACAGAAAGATAGCAGTCTCAAGTGTCCACAACTTGATTCTACGGGATCAATAGATTCCAAGACTGAGAAGCCACAGCTGTCCCCTAATGTGCCATTGTCAGTCACTACTACATCTTCACAGGGAATGGAAGATGAATCTCAACCTGAACAGAGTAATACTAATGATCTTGATAATAAGTTATTTTCAGTATCAGAAAAATATGATGACTTCAAAGCTAGTAAAGAAGCTAAGCTGGAGGAGTGGCTGGAAGGATCTAACAAACATGACTATAATTGCCAGACATGTGATGAGAAAAGGCTTTAGCTTGGATACAAAATTTCAGCTTGTATATAATGTTGTATAATATCTAATTGCCTCTGACTAGACATTATACAATAAAATAACTTTTAATAATGTCAAATGTTCTTTTTACAATCATGACACCATGTGAGATTATTAGTCACATAGGATCCAATATTCCTTCTGACTGGATTGAGACATGGATTTTTTCGTTGTAAAATTTGGCTATGAAATAGAAAGAAATACGTTATTATTATAGATTATGAAGCTTGTTTCCTCCCTAGCTCCCAAAATTTCTCTAATGGGTTTACTGCTATTGATAAACTATGTTCAATTGTTATGTTCCTCTTTTTGTTTTTTGTTTTTTTAATTTGTTCTCGTCATAATTGCATTGAGGATAGCTTGGTTCAATTGGTATTTACTGGCTTTTGATAATGCATGCTATGAATCTTTATTGGGAATTTATTTTCAGGACTTGGTGGTAGTCTCAATGCGACACCCAATCGAATTCAAAAGTAATTATGATTCACCTAATTATATTTACTCTATCCAATTATTTATTTTTAATGCATATATGGGTTCATTTATTTTCAATTTTAGCTTAGGAGTATTGAAAATTTACTCTTAGACCAGGCATGCAATGCACGAACAAGATACCCTATTTAAATGATTCTATTAGATAAAATGAGGTATAACATTGTCACCAAAGAATTTTAAAAAAATATGAACCTTCAAGTTATTTAACAAGTAAATAAATAAAATAAGTATTATTTATTGTGGACCGATACCATGGACCACTTATCGATTGTTATAGACTAATAGCATGGCTCAATGATCAAATCGACGAACCATTTTAACAACTGTTTTGCATACCGATATATGTTCATAATTGTCACCTCGATGCCTGCTTTGGATATGGACAACTCCACACCAAACAAGACTGAGGATTGCCGGTTGAGTTTTAATGCGAGCAATGGGAATAGTCTCTAATAAAGGAGCCGGAGATGACAAGATAACATACAAAGGTGGTGAGGCAGCAAGGTTGTGTGTAAAAGTTTCGCTATTCACCCCCCCTCTTAGAGTTATACTTCTTAAAATGCAAGCTACTTAGGCCATTTGCTCAACATTTTTAATTACATTTTGATCTCAACTAATATATATATATATATATATATATATATATATATATATATATATATACACTTAAATTTTATTTTATCTTTTTTTTTCCTAATCTTTTTGTACTTTTCATTTGAGTTCATTTATCACGGACCCCAACTAGTCATCTTAACAAATTCGATAAGTTTTGGTTGTTAAATTAGTTAAGATTTAAGAACGAACTTAATTGAGATATTGAACTTCTAAAATTCTCATTTCGAAAGTACAAGTAAAATTTCACGTTTTGAATCATCCTAAAGTGGGGGAAAAACAACTTCTTGTTCAGACTTGAGCTCATTTTTTCAAGTATTTTATCCATTCAGGATAAAATTAGTTAAAAGTATTGCATTGATCTAACTAAGATAAATTAGTTAAAAATTATTTTATGATTTTCAGGATTTTACAATAAACCCTAACTTTTAAGGGCTCTTTCAGGAAAGCGAGACCACCTTCATTTGATGGAAAGTCACCCATGTTGTTTTCATGTTGCAAGCTGATGCGAAACATTGGAAGAGAGCTACTCGAAGGCTGCATGAGGGCCAAGCAGCACAAATAACGTGAGTACTGAGTAGTATTCCAAACTTCCTTTCTCAATTATATTTCTCAACTAGAGTTGAAGAGATATAATTTTCCATCTTCTATAGTAAAATACAGAGGGGAAGGCCCTTCGAACGGAAATAAAATTGCTCTTTTATGTAGAGTACAATCAAACTTTACCCTTATCCACGCAAAGGCAAGGCATGGAGCCTTGTTAAACGTTTTAATCTTAGGACACATAAATATCGAATAAAAGAAACCAGACAGGAATAAAAAAAGCAAATCACTTTAGGCAACCTTTCCTCTGGACATTTATATTTCTTTTTATTTTGATATCACTTTCTTGGTGACCTCCCTGTTCAGAAATTGAATCAACATTTGAGTATAGTTGCAGCACTTAGTATAAAAGACAAAATAGAGTAGAAGTAACTAGATCATTTAACCAAATAAATTACTTAAATATTAAAAAATCAGTAGTATAGAGAAAAGTAAACTTGAAGATCCAACTACTACGTTTTATAGTCAAATCCTTGCATCAATACAGATCCAACTTTCAGCTGCGTGTCTCGATATGTAGTTTCCTGTTTTCTGAATTTCACTAAAAGGGTATTCATAAGTGAATCACAAATACCACATGTTTCGAGGCAACAATTAACGAAAAAAGCGAAATCTAATTCAGGAGTATACAAAGAAACTCGATCTTATGGAAACAAAAATAAGCATCTAAAGCAGCAAATATACAAGCATAGAAGCCCTTCTTTCTTACATGATACGAGTTCTTGTATGAGGTTGGGGTGATATCACATACCACACATACTAACTACTGGTCACACTCCCACTGCAATTTTTTTTCTTGTTTTTGTTCCCTTTTGATAGATTAATTAAAGCAGCAACAAAAGAGATCACATCTCAGCAACCAATTTTTCCTCATCAGCTCTAGATTCTGAAAGGGTTCCCTGAGTCCATTTCTTCAGCATCTCTAATGCAGCCTTGGGCTGGTCCATTGGAACCATGTGACCCGCATCATGGACCTGTTTTTGTTACACATAGTATTGAACTCAATAAACATTTTCCACTGACCATGAGAAAAGCTACAAAGGAAATTGGTACATAAATGGAGTGTCTATTTCTAGACAATATTGACTTTGCCTGTTAATGCAGAACAAGCACAAGTTTGTATTTGACCATGGCAAAAAGTGTGCAATTTAGCCCCACACAATATAATATTCAAATAGTGTTAATGGCCACCAATTTTAACATTCTGTCTAAATCAATAGCAAAACAAGCACTAATGATTTGGATGCAGACATGCAGTGTCAAAATTGGGATAATTAGCACAGCTGAATAGTGTGAGGGCAAGGGTAAATTGTACATTTCAAAAAATTTGGGCTAATTCAAACGGAGAGTACTTTTATTTGAGATGACATTGATAGTTTTCACTTCACAAGCACATGCCTATGGACTATGAGTGGATGTGTGTGGAGCGAGAAAAAGACACAGACCTTAAGGAAACTTAGAGGTCCGTAACTCTTCAATAATCCAGCTTCTGATTCATCAACAACAAAAGGGACTTCAGGTGAGGCTACAAATTCTTTCTGACCAGACCATTCCATGGCATGAACCCATCTGGAATTACCTACTCATTGAAATCATAACACCAGGAAGAGGTCCATCAATTTATTCATTGAAAGGTTATACAGAAGAAATATTAAATTTCTCAATAGATCTTAAATCAGTTAGATAGTGAATATATATACAGACCAAGCCAGTTGCAGATGAGATCATATTCCCCAGCATAAACAAGCAAATTGATTCCATCCTCAAGAAGGACAGGAATTCCAACTTCAAGATTCCTCATCCAATCCATCAGCATAGCCATATAAACTTTAGTGCTACAAGAAACATAATGGATTTTCCCAACCCCTAGTGCATCCCGAACAGATTTTTGGTTGAGGAACTTCTCCATATTTGAAAAATCATAGCAAAGGCTCCCTTCACACTTCTTTCTAATATCATAGTACTGCAGCAAAAGTATATAACTGTTGGCTAAAATTAAAAATGTACCATTGTACCCATACTAATTCAAGATTGCAATCTTCATAAATACCAAGACATGAGTTTTATGACCTATTAGCAGAATAAAAGTCTTTCTTAGCATTTATTATAAAATTTCTCAATTAAAAAATCCTCAACTAAGAAAGAGTTAAAGGACTTGTTTATAAAACAGACTTTTGACTTAGAAATGGTCAATTATTTTCATGCCTACTTGTAATGTGGGGAAAGCATCATCAACTTAAGAGTGTTCCAAAACTAGAAAAACTGATTCCTTAGACCTCTCCACGTGGTATATGGTATTTTAGTACCTTTTTCCCCCAAAATAATAATAATGCCTGAATCATATTTCTTTCCTGTATTTTTGTACAGTGCACAATAAGTTATTGGCAAAATAAAAATTTTGAAAAATAAGAACAAAAGGTATCAGGTGTCAGCAATTTAATACAATGAAAATCCTTTCTTTGCTCCTCGCTAACAACAAGAGTTTTTAGGTTGAGTAATTCATTCACAATGCATCAAACTTATATGAAGGAGTGGGGTGGGATAGATGACCCCACTGGCCACATTCAATTTAATTTAAAGCACAAGGTAGCAAGAAAACCCTATTTTAACCTTGCATCATGTTGAATAAGCTTTTCACATAAGGCATCTGTTACAACATGAAGTACTACTGACATGTCAACCACACAGAAGCAGCAGAATTAGTTTACCCACATTTGCATTACCGGCATGTAACATGATGTCATTGAATATGGCATTACAAACTACAAATGCAGCCACACAGGAGCTCTTTCCGTCAGTGCCTGAAAGCATTAAAACAAATATTAAGAAGAAAGGTAACAGAAGCCAACCAGAAGAAGAACCTCAAACTATGAGAGCACTGGATTCTGGTGATGTGAGAATGATCAGGACTGTTAAAATATTTAGATGATATCATTTAAAATTAAAATTATATCTTAATACAGTTTAGAGGTCTCTTAAAATCAGTTACACTATTTCCTTATATTTCATGATTTATTTCCTTATTTTAGGAGTCTCCTATCTAGTATAAATAGAGATTAGCACTATTTCTTTTGTAATCACATCAATCTAGTCTTATCCCTTTTTTCTCCATCTATACCTATATCCCTATAATTTGAACAACGTATCAAATACCATCCTTCGTGACCTGTCCCGTCACTTTTTCACAGCTGAATTCCCTGAAATTTGGAACTCTATGACAACCATCAACATTCTCTAAGCATTTTATCGTCTTCCGCAGCATCTCATGCCACCTCTGTCATTGTCATCCACCGTTAGCTGTTGCTGGAAAATTTTCTAACGAGATCTCCAACCGGAAAACTATCGATCATGGGCTTAGCCGTCCCGCGTGCCCACAGTCTTTCCTCGATAGATTTGCATCTAATCGAGGGGGAGAAACTCAAGTTGCAACCCTTTCCCATTGAATTTTGTCAAATGCAAGTTAGCCCTAGCAGCCTCTTTCGTCTTCCTACCATAAAACTTTGCCTCTCCCTCCTTCACTAGGTGACCTTGACTTTCATTCAATAGTCAACATGGCTAAGGACAACAAGGGCAGCAAAAGTCTAAAAGTCACAATATCCTTGTTCCCCTTTCTATGTCCATTCATCAAACAATACATGTATATGATACAAGTTACACTTGTATTTTCATGTAAAACATCACAATATTATTCTCAAATAAAAACGTAAAATCGCAAAACATAAACGAAACTTAAGAGTTTACTACTTACAAAACAATATATATCTAACATATAGAAAACCAAAACACCCCACTCTACTAACTAATGCGTGTGTCCTAGGATCCAGACTCATTTACTCAAAAATTTAGTTAAATCCTCTTCATTAATCGTGCACGGGCCACGTCTTGGATCCACTGTAAAAGCCCAGAATATTAATTATTTTTTAAATTTAATTAATAATTTATCATTTTTTTAAAGTACATAAGTATACATATTTTTTTCTATTTTAAATTTTAATTGACTGTTTTATAAAATTAAATTAATTTTTTTATAAAATGAAAAACGTGTGTAGAAAAGAAAAAGAAAAAGAAAAAAGGATCACGTGTGTAAAAACCAATTCAACCCAAAAGCTTAAGCTGTTGGGTGAGGCTATATTAATAGTTTTATATATCTCAACACGCCCCCTCACACGAGAGCCCACTGGGCTTGAAGGGTGGACAATGCACAGATCCACCTATCTGTGCTAAGAAATTCCACATGAGAAAGTGGAGGGCGATGAGAATCGAACTCGGGACACGAGGCTCTGATACCATGTAAAGAACCAATTCAACTCAAAAGCTTAAGCTGTTGGGTGAGGCTATATTAATGGTTTTATATATCTCAACAACGTGTATAAAAAATTAAATTTTTTGCTGGTTGTTGCTGATTGTAGTAACTAACTGTGTATTCTGCTCTTCCCTTTTGCAACCACTTTTTTTTTTTTTTTTGAAAAAAACTGAGTCAACTCGGTAAGGATGTTGACACGGCGTTTCAACTGTTTCGACCCAGAATCCGTTTCGACTACCGTTTGGACAAGTTTTTTGTCATAAAAACGTAGTAACGTACCGTTTCTACGTTTTGACACTACGTTTTTACAACACTGAGTTGCCTCCATGCTCCATGAGTATTAGGGATAAGGATGTTGTTGTTGGGCCTTGTCCTAGACGTGCTTTGGTTGGCTCTCCCTTTTTGTGTGGTTGAAGCTTCCAAATCCAGTTCTTGATGAACTTGTGAAGTTTTACGTTCTTGTGTACACTTGTTAACTAAGACATTTCCGATGATGGACATTTCAACGAAGTCTCTTCTTCCTTGATCAGGCGATATTTCCAGCCATCTTGCTGAGTTTTCTTTCCAGCAATTTCATCTCTTCAAGATCTATAGCATATGTACTTGCCTTTTCAGCCATGTTTTGTGGAGCCCAAATTATATAATATGGATGTTTTTCCTTTCTTTAAAAAGACTTATTTCTAACAATCCTACACCTTAGTATGCTTTAACTTGAGGGGGAGAGTTAGAATATTTAAAAGATAATGTACAATATGAAGATTACATCTTAATATAGCTTAGTGTATCATAAATGATCTTTTAGGATTAGTTTCATTATTTCCTTATATTTTATGATTTGTTTATTTATTTTAGGAGTTTCATATTTAGTATAAATAGGAATTGCTGGTTTGTCTTTTATAATCACCACAAATCACATCCAAATGCAATATTATATTTAGTCTTGTCTCCCTTTTTCTCCATCTATATCTACATTCCTATAATTAACAAGAACAATTAATCACTTAAGTTACATGATCATTGGAAATTAACAAACAACTGCTCTTAAAGCCAAATAATAAATCACATTTTATGCTAATTATATACTTAAAAGTAATACTTTATACAGGGAAATTGTATGCAATATATATATATATATATATATATATATATATGCAGTTTAAATATGCTATTTAGTCCCAAATGCAGAGAGGACTTTATAACTATACATATACTAACTTAACGTAATCTAAATTTACACAATTTTTAAAAAATACATTTTAGAAACATTTGTTTTTGGGTAAACAAAAGTTTAGGGTGTAGATTAATTCAAATTTTTGTTAGGATATACGAAAAATATCTCATAATATTATTATGGTATCTTAGAATATCTTAAAGTATCTCAGATGATTTCTTAGGAGTGGTTTCCATATTTCAATACATTTCAAGAGTTGTTTTCTTATTTAATTAAGATTAAGAGTCTAGTACTAATATAAATAGAGATTAATGCTTTGTCTTTTGTACCACATCATATCATTTCCCATCATTATACACAACAGAATATTATTCGGAGTCATTATTCTATATTTTCCTGCTTCCTTACTTAAATTTATAATTTCAACATGTCTTCTCACTATTTCATAGTCGATCTTCCTAAAATTTAGAACTATTTTGTTCGTGTTGGTAACCATGTAAATAGTGTCTAGGTTCATTGTATAGACTAAATAGAATCATGCAATTACTTTAATTAGGATAGCCATTGTCTCTGTGTTTATTATTTTGAGGCTATATAATCTAGACTCCAATGTATAGTTCAAGGACATGGATTTCAGCATAAGCCTCGTTTTTCTTTCTGTCAACATGGGATCTAGAGCCTCAAAGAGACATACCTTAAACCATGTTTACACGATAGACCCACTACTCACCAGTGCCATTTCTCCCTCATGAAATCATGCTCTCCTCTCTATTTAACCACCCAACCATTGTCGTGTTATCTTTTTTATGGTCTCTTGCCCCTACTGCAGCCAACAAAAATTTTATCCAATGACTTTTCCAGTCAAATTAACCAACCAGGTACACCTTCCCAATCACACGCTGTCACTATCCTCAATGTGTCTCTTTACCATGCTTGTCCAATTGTGCATGTGTCATGCTTTCAAGCTTTCAATAGTTGTACCACTGTATCCTCTCTTAGGATTTTCCTTCCATCAATGCGCTAGCACGTCCTCCTGCCTTTGCAACCTCTGTTTGGTGGTCTCTAGGCCCTCCTTCACTGACCAATGACAACTAGTAACCTGTCAAATGTTTGAGCCCCATATGTTCACTAACCATGTCAATGCGTTACTGTGCACTGACAAGTTAGAAGGTACCAGCAATGACACTTCAGAATCTATCAAGCACTAAGAATGTGTAGATGATGGGCCATGGGCCTAAAAATTAGTGAATTAGTTAGTTTGTTATGAAAACTATTCTAGAATATTCCTAAAGTATAGGATAAAAGGTAGGTAGAGTGTGTAGTGTGGGTATGCATGAATTCAGAATTGGTTAGTGGGGAAATTTGGAGTCCTCTAGAGAACTCTTGGAGCCTAGGTGTGTTAGCTGTGAGGGGGATTTGAGGTCTCTTGGGATTTATTTTCTGCATTTTATCTTTGTATTAGTGTATGCAAAAAGAGGATATGCCTCTATTATTAATGAAATCAGTGCTGTATTTTTCTGGGTTCCATCAATTTGGTATCAAAGCACTTCCGATCTAGAAGTGCTTCTAGTCCAGATGGGCTTAGAGGATGTGCGCTCTACTGGTATATGCGTTGGAATCGTCACAATCCTAATGCAAAATTCTGGGATTTTACCAAAGCATTTATAAGTGAATATCTACCTGAGATTTGTGTGGTAGAAGAAGAGGCAGAATCAGAGCATTCCACTGTAGAAAATAAGGAGGGAATAACATCTCTAAAATCAGATCCAACAATTGATGGTGACGAAGTAGTAAAAGAAGAAAAAAAGATATCGCAGAAGAAATCAAAGAACAAGAAGAAAAAGGAGCAAAAATAATCGAAGAGGAAATAAAAGAAGAAAAAGGAGGAAATGAAGTAGATCGAAACGTCGAAGAAAAAACTGAAGCAGAGACCGAACAAGAAGAGAAATCAGAAGTGGAAGTGGAAGTGGAAGCAGAAGAAGACAAAACAGGAGCAAGTAGCGAAGATAATGGAAAAGACGAAAAAGAAGAAAAAAGAAGGTGCAAGCAGCAAAGAAGATGAGAAAGCGAACATAGAAGAAAAAGAAAAAGTCGAAGAAGAATCAGATAAAAACGAAGAAAGAAACGACAGGGAGGAGATATGCAAGAAGGGTCAGTGGAGATCAACAACAGCAATGACAGGCACGCGAGGTTCTGACAGTGGACAGCGGCGGAAACGGCGGATCGACGACGATGCAAACAGTTTGCCAAAACGAAGGGCAGCAACGCACAAAACACCAAAGATCATGGGACTGCAACTCAATCTTCGTGCGGTGGTGCAATAAAAGCAATGTATGATGGCGAGTGACAGGGAGCAAGATTCTGGCAACTTACATCAGAGGAGAAGGCAGAAAACCGAGACAATGGTGGAAGCAAACGTATGGGTAGACCATTTGTGGAGGAGAGTTATCACGCACGCGTGACCATTTTCTACAGCAAGGCCCCAAATAGTTTTGAGATGCCAATAGATGGGAAGTATTGGGCTGGGCTTGTTAGGAAGTGTTGGGCAATGGGAATTAACACAAATGGTCCAAGAAGTATTAATAGGTTGGGTAATGGGCTTGACAATTGGCCAGCATGGACAAATCAAGCCCAAACAAATTTTGTTTCACGGCCCAATTTAAGTAACAATTACGGGGAAACTGTATCTAATGGGTCAAACACAGATAGTGTTGTTCTCAAGGCTGCTTGGGCTTCCAGAGTGAAAAAACCAAGATGTTGGTGTTGTAGAGATGTTGGGTGATCCAAAAGAGGCAAGGGTTGATACCTTCAATCCAATTAATGTTTTTATTTATATAAATAATGAAGATAAAATGCATCATGTCAGCAAAGGTGCACCAAAGCAGATTTTGAACGTTGTGCACAAGAAATCAGGAATGAAACAAAGTTCATGCTGTTAGGGATAAGTTTGCAGAGCAGGGCTTACGGTCTCTTGCAGTATCTGATACATGATGGGTGTGAGAAAAAGGGAAAATACACTCTGTAAAAATAAATGGGATAGATAAGAGTCCACCACAATTGAGATTAAAGGCTAAGTCATCATCCCAACTGATAAAGAACCCACTAGCCTCACCACTAATCCAAGGTTAGACAAAGATAACAAGATTCAAGACAAGTTTGAGAACTTGCAACACATTTTTCATTTATCAAATCTGTATTCTGCATTACAAAATATCCCATGTTTATAGAATAACTAAAAGCATGAGAATAGAAAGAGACATAACTACAAGAGTTGTGTTGTTTAGGAAATAGAAATAAAAAAAACTAAACCCAACTCTTAAGAGTCATGCTCCCAAGAATTGTGTTGCTTAGGAAATAGAAATAACAATAATTAAACCCAACTCCCAAGAGTCATGCTCCCAAGAGTTAATCACCATTAAAGATCTCTTTATTGCACTTTAAATGCTAAAACTTTTATCTTCCTTCATAGTTGACCCATTAAGGCAGCCAACTAATCATAATTTGACCCAAAATAACTTTTGAACCCAACTGAAATTGTGCCTTGAAATCAGAACACGAATTTGCAAATCCTGGACTTAACATTTTAGCTTTTCTAATCAAATGTAACATTTTTACTTTTGTATCAGTATCCTACCAAGAAGTTCCTAATGGAAGAAAAGGAAGCCAAAGAGGGCCTTAGCAATTTATTGGACTCATGCCTTTGTTTGATCCACCGAGACATGATAGTGCAGAGACAATATGAAGAGCATTAAATCTTAGAGTAAATGTTAAAAAGATAACAAGGGTGGTGAAGGAGGCGCTGGGGTATGCATGACTTGCAAATTTGGCGAAGAAAACAAGAATTTTGATGGACATTTGGGCATCCCATAGTTTTATGGCCAGTCTTATGGTTCAAAAATTGAAGTTGTAATTAGGTCGAGAGGCTTCAAACAATGGGATCCTGGTGGCAGTTCTATCACATCACTTGTCCTCTTCCTTCACCTTGAGGACAAGGTGAGTTTTGGAGGGGGAGCATTGATGGGCCACGGACCTAAAAGTTAGTGAATTAGTTAGTTTGTTATAGAAACTGTTCTAGAATAATCCTAAAGTATAGGATAAAAGGTAGGCAGTGTGTGTAGTATGGGTATGCATGAATTCAAAATTTGTTAGTGGGGAAATTTGGGATCCTCTAGATAACTCTTGGAGCCTAGGTGTGTGGGCTGTGAGGGAGAGTTGAGGTCTCTTAGGGTTTATTTTCTGCATTTTATCTTTGTATTAGTGTGTGCAAAAAGAGGCTATGCCTCCATTGTTAACGAAATCAGTGCTATATTTTTCTGGGTTCCATCAGTAGACCACCTCATTACCAAATCCAACTTGGTGCCAGCACTAAACAGTTCAAGCGGGCTAAGATTGATGCCCAACTCTATAGCATCATCAAAGCCAATATTCATTTGTGCCCATGATATCTGCAAATTAGTTTCGACTCAAGCCACAACACCTCTATGAGGTATGTCAAAACCTCATAAATGTCATTGCTTCTTAGGTTCGATGCTTCTATGTCTGATATTTGGGTAAGATTCAAGGAGCCTTAAATGATTTCAACAAACTTCCCTAAACTATAACCCTTACCTAGGAGATTGAGCAATAAATACCTTCTCCATGATGCTTACAAAGTCTCTAGTGACAACGCTCCAAGTTCAAGTTGGTTGTAGTTTTTGGAAGGATTTGTACCTTTACAACGAGTTGGATGCTAGCCTAGACAATGGCTTGAAGGACGACGAGAACTAATTAGTTTTGGACAAACTGTGCTTAGGGTTATGCCATGCCCAGAACGAACCTGCTCATATACCATATGAAAGAGAGATTTATGAATTGATTGAGGAAATCCTTAACAAAAACTTCTACTTATTCATGAGTTACACAATCTCATATATTAGGAAACTAGAAAGCTAGGAAAATAATACAAATCAAATCCTATTTATTTACTATGTCCCTAAATAGGAGATACTTTCCAACTACAATTTCCCAAAAGATGTATGTCATGGAGATTCTTGAGGAAACAATTATGTTGAATGCAAAGCCAATTGACACTCCCATGGATCCAAATGTCAAACTTTTGCCAAACTAGGGAGACTTACTCTCAAATCAAGATATTCAAAAGACTAGTTGGGAAATTGAACTACTTTACCGTCACTAGTCCAAACATATCATTAGTAGTGTGGTTAGTCAGCTACACAATGCTCCTTGTGCAGGACACTAGGAATTAGTAACTCATACCCTAAAATGCAATAAATGAGCACCAAGAAAAGGTCTTAAAGGTCATGCTTGAGTTGTTTGATATTCAAATGTTGATTAGGCAGGTTTCACTATTGGTACGAGATCCACTATTGTGTATTTAGTAAGGATAGTATGATTTCCATAAAAAGTAAGAAACAAAATGTTGTTGCATGATCATGTGCTAAAGTAGAATATTAAGTCAAGGTATATGCCACTTACGAACTCATTTGGCTTAAATAATCAATTAAAGAACTCAGGCACACATTGTCTTCACTCCTAGACTTGCAATTGCACTATCTTTGTCCCATATGTGCTCTAGCAGTGTCTCTGAATCCCAAATTCACTCTAGCCCCATCCCCAGTCCCAAACCCCATCACCAATCTCAATTCCATCACTTGCCACTACATTATAATTTAATTTTCTTTTCGTTTGTTTGATGTGACAAGCTTATTAAGTTTAGTTTGAAGAGGTGTTAGAATATCTAGAAAATATCTGATAATATTATTATTGCATTTTATGTATCTTGGATTATCTCTATTGAATGGTTTCGTTTTTTTTTTGGTAAGGATTGGGATTCTAGTGATAATATAAATTGAGATTAATGCTTTGTCTTTCATAGTTTTATATGTTATCATATCACATCACATTATTATATGTTGAGGCTTTAAAATGTTTATGGCAGAAGAAGGAAGAAGAGTAGGCCCATGATAGCTAGATCAAGGTCAGAAGGGAAGGATCTAGGAGGTGCAGGCCCAATGACACAATGGAAATCAGTAGGACATGAACAAGATCCAAGAGAGGACCCAAACTCGGGAGTGGAAAGGAATTTCAAGGGAAGAGGAGGAGATTCCAATTAGTGTGAAGGATGAAAGCAAAGAAAGTTAGTTAGAAGAGAGAGAAAGTTGTTAACGGTTAGGAGGGATGATGTGTGAGTTTATAGAGTGGGATGGGAACGTGTGTGGGGATCATGATGAGAGTAACAACCAATTAAGGAGGGGAATAAAGGATCTATTGGGGACCTCAGGGGAATCAAGAGTAGAGTCAGTAATTTCTTTCTTTGTTCTTCCTGCAAAGTCATTTTTTCGAATTTCTGTTTTCACATTTTGTAAGGAGAATTGCTCAAGCGTTTCAATATTTGAATATAAGAAACTCCGTTCTATCATTATATAAACCATTCCCCATGAAACTCCAACTAGCAAGGGTAGGGGACATCACATTATTATATACAAGAGTATAATGTTAAGTGTCAAATATTCGCTGAAAGGAAAAAATGTCAAATTACCACATAGCTTTATTGCCAATTCACAGGCTGGAACCAACCCTATGTCAAGAAGGTCATGTGTAGCCTTCTTAATTATGCCCATGTCCAGTGCATAATCTGTGTAAGCTTTATACTGGATTGCAGGATCAGTCATCCCATTACCAATAGCCAGTCCCTGTTCAAACAATTAAAATAAGAGACGCAAGAATTATTTCCTTCAACACAACTCCGTCACTTAGAAAGTTAGAATGGTTCATTATGTAATGCAACAGACCTTCAGGTTTATATGAATTCCTTCATTAGCTTGGTTTCCCCTATGGATACGAGTTGCAAAAGCAGGAATATAGTGCCCAGCATATGATTCACCAGTGATAAAAAAGTCATTCTTTGCATATTGGGGATGCTCTGCAAAGAAAGCCTGAAGGAAAAAGAAAATAACTGTTAAGAGGGTATTTTAATCTTTCTAAAATATTTTTACCATGTCTCTGTCTGTATTACACTTACAACTCTGCAGTGTGAAATAATATACAAACCTACACCCACATTTGGGATGATATCCTGTTACAAAACCAGCCATTTGGAAGGGTCTACTTCCGTAGGAATATTTCTCAACAACAAAAAAAGAGACATTATGGGAGTTATGACAGCCAATAACTCAGGAAAAGCAAAGGGGTTGTTTTTATTGACAGGCAACCAAGAACTCAATAGATACGAAATAAACTTATACATAAGGAGGAACCTCTTAGAGGATACACAAACAATTGTATTATGAGTGGTTGGTTGAGAACTCATCTCAGATTCAGGGGCTTCTCCCTTGGCAAGAGCATTCTTGTATTATTGTCTATCACAATAAAATAAATCCTCCTTGCTTCTATATTCCCTTTATTCTCATAACAACAATTTTATAAGTTTCCAATGGCATATCAATTTGGTCCAACCCGTCGGATCCAAGACACCATGGAGTGACTTGAAAGGAGAATGAACACTCTTGAAAATTCATTGGAGATTTTGTAGAGAGACACCAGCGAGAATACAATTAATTTTCTGTCCATATGCAATAGTTTAGAGGCTATAAATGAGACTCGTGAACTTACTAAAATTTGGATACACCAAAATTGAATTGGGATTAATGGGGTTGGTTCAACATCCTGCCTTTGGAGACTCAACCTCTCATTCAGGGGCAACAAGGGAAGGAATGGGAGCAAACAATGAGATTTTGGTGGGACAGATGAGGGCGACGAAGGTGGAAATGCCATCTTTTGAAGCAATCGAACCTCTTGGGTTGATTGTGAGAGCAGAAAATTTTTTTGAGGTACAAGGAATTCCAGAACTGGAGAATCCATTTAGCATTCGTTAGTATGCAGGAATGAGCAGCACAATGGTTTCGTTTTATCAGCAAAAAAATTCCTCAAGTGGGATCTTCTAACGAAGTTGTTAATGTCTTCTCCCGCATTGAGTAATGGATAGACAATGTGGATCGTGAGATAGCCTATCTTTGTTGGTGTCTCGACTCGAAGGCTGTGAGACTGAAAGGGTCACCACATAGGGTCCCACTTCTCCCAAGGTTCCTCAGCTTGCGAATGATGATGAAGACATTTCATAAAACTTGGATGATGATCTATCAGATGACAATGAGATTCTAGGAAAGACTGAACATGATGATGATGAGAATGGGGAATAGTTAGTTGATGAGGACTTTTCATCTTAATGTAATATATACTGTTAGAGATATATAAAAACCTCACCTAACAACTTAAACTTTTGGGTTGAATTGACGCTTTACATGATATCAAAACCTAGGTGTCACAGGTTTGATCCTCATCGCCCCCCATTTAATTAATAATTAATTAAGTCATGCGGAGTAGTTTCTTAGCATAGATAGGTGGATCTGTACATTGTCCACTCTTCAAAATCAGTGGGCTCTCGTGTGAAGGGACGTATTAGAGATATATAAAACTATTAATGTAACTTCACCTAACAGCTTAAGCTTTTGGGTTGAATTGACACTTTACATATACGCTTGCTAACCTTCAATTTACCTTTGCCTCTATTATTGGCTTGACAGTTTTGCTTCACATGACTATTGGCATAGTTACTTTTCGTATGGTATATATGCTTAATTTGAATACATAAAGGACAATACATTGGGTAGTTCAATATGCTATTTTACGTTACTGGGACATTTTGAGCTGCTTGATTGATGCTTATTTCACTTCTATCATTTTCTATAATGCCAAAATCGTGAGTTAGGGTAGTTAATATTACATTAGTAAGACGGAAGTTATGTTGAAATCTAATCTCCTTGAATCTTATGCATGATGCCAGGGCGAGTAATTATTTGGCTGCGCTTTATCTCTTTTTATATTGAGTCTGAAACTCCAACCTATGGTCATAGTTATCACATATTGGATGCGGGCGAGCCATCCTCAATGCTATAACAAGATAGCAGTTAGCTTGAAGGTGCTATACCAAATATTAAGGATATAAAATAATTTATAATGCACAATATAAATGCTCAAAAACAAAAATTACCATAAAATTAAACATTTATTATAAGTACATGTTTATATTGTAATTTTTATTGATTTTCTTTTTCCTTTATTAGATATATTATGATAAGTCAGATTATACAGAAATTATGACACAATTTTCTACCTCCAGTTACAGCTGTCGTCTCCAATTGCAAACTCTCCATTTTCAGCTTCTTTTTTCATCTTGATGAAAACTAAAAATCAACAAAGATGGGGGAACGAGATCCTTTGAAAAACCTAGAACTAGAAGTGTTTATATTTGTTCAATTATGTAACATATGAAATGAAAGAAAATCAATTTAAAATCGGTTCAGAACCGAGCCTTTTAAAAAATTTCAAGGAGGATGTACCACATTTTTGAAGACCCACCTTATGGTTTAGCTAGTATCTTGCTTAAGGACTCAGTTCAGACTGAAGAGGCTGTTACCTCTGCTGCTACTTAATTTTTGTGTTTTCTTCGGGGCTTGTGCCCTCCATGTATACAAAAAAAAAAAAAAAAAAAAACTAGTCCGGTTTCAAGAACTGTTTTAAAAAATCAGTTCCTATGGTATTCTTATGGATTTTTTGCACATCCCTAACAAATCCCTAAAAATAAAGAAATTACCAACCTAATTACTGTAATTTAGGAAACTACCAAACTGATTATGTAACCTAAAGATAGAATATTTAAAATAAATACAAGGTTATATGCAAAATTGGACGAGATATTCTTTATTAGCTCAATTGAGATAAAAATCTACGATCCACATTTAGGGTTGTGTTAAGATGGTATTCTAATCTTTCTTTCATAGTTGTATTACTCATAATACGCTACATTGCAACCACATATGGGCATGGCTTCCAATATTTCTCAAACAGGAGCTTCAAAATAATTCTTACCAAATTTAGCATAACACAGTAAGAGGAATTTTAACATAAATAAGTTTCGAACTACAACTTCCATCACAAGAATAATAAATGTTAGGTAATAAATGAACATTGCACTAAAATTCCATAACTAATATTCAGAGCAAACACAAGTACCTGCAAAAAGTCATACAAGTCATTGCTAATACCCTGTTCATTATGACGAATGTCACGCAAATCATTGCTGTAGCTAAAGCCAGTTCCAGTTGGTTGGTCAACATACAAAAGGTTTGATACCTACAAGGATTAGCAACAAATTTTAATACTGATAAATAATTCTCACAGGTAAAGTACAATACAAAAAACAGTTGTATAACAGTCACAAAATAAAGTTTATTTCTATCTTCAAAATGACTGTTGGAAACTATGTAAATAGTGCCTAGGTTCTTTTGTATAGGAAATAACCAAATTATGCAATTGTAGGAATTAGGATCCTTGTATTTATCACTGAACTCCTCATGTTTTTGGTGGAAATCGTTTTGTTCACAGTCATACTTCAAGGAAGGACAAGCTAATGACCTTCAAGTGTCTTTTGCTCAAATATTCCCATCTTCATAAACGGTGTTGTTGCTACTTTCTCATTCTAGGCTGACATGTCATGCCTGCTGACATCACCTTTTTCGATCATCAACCTTTCAATCCTTCACCGACAAAAGTCTATTAGGTTAATACACCAATTCCTTTCTATTATCCTCCTTTGGCTTCCACGTAAAACTCTAGTGTTGAGCTAGTCTCGTCCTATATTAACCTCAACATTGACCTCGACCGCTCATTGGTTCCGCCCTTCTCTCTAGTTGCGAAAATGACCCCAGTTTCTTAAACCTGATTGTTGTTTCTCCTTGGCTATTCTCTATGGTTATTTACAAGACAGAGTTTATATGGGACAATCACCTAGTTTTGTTGCTTAGGGGGAGCCTAGGTTAGTATGCAAGCTTTGCAAATAACTCTATGGCCTAAAAAAATCACCTCAAGCCTGGTTGGGTCGCTTTAGTACATTTGTTCAAGACTTCAGCATGATTCATAGTGAATCCAACAAAATCTACTCTCTATTGGCTTCAATCTACTAATCAATGCATCTATCTTGCTACTATGTGGATGACATTATCACTGGAAGGGATTGATTGTCATTTAACAACTGAAACAACAGTTATTAAAAGATTTTCACACCAAGGATCTAAGCAAGCTCCAAAATTTCTCAGGTATCAAGGTGGCATTTAGGCATGACATCTCCAACTCCCAAAGAAATCATGCCTTACACATCCTGGAAGAAACCGGCGTGCAAGGGTGGAGACCCATCGATACATTTAGGGATCCCAATGTCAAGCTTGTACCATAGTACAAGAAGCTATTATCAGATCCTAGTCGTTATAGGAGGGTAATTGGAATGAAGAGGAACAAAAAGCTATTATCATATTTCAAATAAAGGAAACTTGGTGGAATGAAGAGGCACAAAAAGCTACTAAACAGCAAAAGGACTATTTTAGATGTTTGCATAAATATTATAGTGAGAAGAACTTGCCAAACGTTTAGATTGCTAAAAAAAATGCTAAGAAAGTCGTGCAAGAGACCAGAAGCAAAGATTTTTCCAATTTGTACATAATTGTTCTAACTATATAGACATCAAGCTAAAGAGCCATAATATGAAATTGTGGGAGAGTTATTGAATATCGCTTAAAAATAAAAACAAAAGTTTCTATAAATAAATTCGGATTTATGCCAGGAAGATGTGCCATGAAGGCTATTTTCTTGATACGACAGTTGATGGAAAGATATCAAAAAAAAAAGGAATGACCTACATATGGTGTTTATTGATCTAGAGAAGGCGTTTAATAGGGTTCTAAGAAAGGTTCTATTTTGAGAAAAAAAAGTATCATCATAGTTTGTGCACGCAATCAAGGATATGTATGATGGTGCTACTACATGCATTAAGGCATGTAATGGAACATCATGTCATTTTCCAATCTGAACAGACGGTATTTTCGTAAAATTAAAGCACATGAGGTTTAGGAGGCACAGAAGACTAAAACTAGTGCCTATTGAAGTGTGGATACGCCTGGAGGGTGTGGCAATAAATTGGCTAACAAATATTTTTAATAAGATTCTCCAAACTCATAAGATGCCTAATATATGAAGATAGAGTATGCTTGTGCCAATTTATAAAAACAGGGAAATATCAAGAATTATTCTAATTATAGACGTGTTAAGCTTATGTGTCATACTATGAGTATGAGGTTATGAGAGAAAGTTATTGATTATCATTTGAGAATAAAGACAAAGGTCTTTGTAAATCAATTTGAATTTATGCCGGAAAAATGTACCATGGAGACCATTTTCTTGATACGACAGTTGATGGAAAAATATCGAGAAAAGAAGAAGGACCTACATATGGTGTTTATTTATCTCGAGATGTATGATAAGGACTCAAGAAAGGTCCTATTGAAGGGAAAAAGTATCATCAAAGTATGTAGAAGCAATCAAGGATATGTATGATGGTGCTACTACATGTGTGAAGGCTTGTAAAGGAACATCAGGTTATTTTCCGATGTGAGCATGAGGTTTGTGCGTAGAATTACAGCATATGAGATTAAGGAGACATTAAAAAAGATGAAGACTAATAAAGCTTTATGATCCAATAGTGTCCCAATTGAAGTGGGAAGATACATGGGTGTGTGGCAATAAGTTGGTTGACAAATCTTTTTAATAAGATTCTCTAAACTAATAAGGTGTTTGATATAATGAAGAAGAGCATGTTTGCGCCTATTTATAAAGACAAATGAGAGATTCAAAATTGTTCTAACTATGTAAGTGTTGAGCTTAAGAGCCATACTATGAAATTGTAAGAGAGAGTTATTGAACATTACTTGTGAATAGAGACCAAGGCCTCTGTAAATCAATTCAGATTTATGCTAGGAACAAGTATCATAGAGGATAATTTCTTGATCGAAAATTGATAGAAAGATATTGAGAAAAGAAAAATGACCTACATATGGTGTTTATTGATACTGAGAAGACATATGATACGGTTCCAAGAAAGGTTCTTGAGAGGAAAAAATAGAAGCAATTAAGAAAATGTATAATGGTACTACATATGTGAAGACTTGGAATGGAACATCAAGTTATTTCTGTATGACGATAGGTATACACCAAGGTTTTGCATTGAGTCCTTATCTTTTTGCTCGTGATAAATTAAATAACAAAAGATATCCAAGACAAAGTGTCATGGTATATGCTATTTGCAAATGGTATTATGCTTATTTATGAAACCAAAACCAGTGTTCATAAAAAACTAAAAATGTGGAGGAGCATGTTGAAATATAAAGGATTTACGCTGAATCGGAGTAAGACTGAGTATATGAAGTGAGTTTGCTCCGATAAGTTATGGACATTAAGATTTCGTGCATTTTCTTGGATACGAAATACCCAAAAAATATGTTTTTAGATTTTTGGGATCTATTTTTCAAAAGAGTGGAGAGATTAATGATGATGTAAATCATAGAATTAAAGGAGGTTAGATGAAATGAAACAATGCATCAAGGGTTTTTGTACGATTGTAAAATTCCTTTGAGGCTAAAAGTACAAAAAGGAAAGTTTAATAGAACAATAAGGCCTACAATGATATACAAAGTTGAATGTTAGATAGCATATAGCCAACATTAGTACAAAATAATAGCAGCAAAAATGAGAATGTTAAAGTGAATGTGCAATCATACAAGGATGTACAAGATAAGAAATGAAGATATTTGATGAAAGGTAGGAGTAGCTATTAGTATGGGTATCCTAGAGACAATCTGAGTAGTCAGATGACAGTATGTACTTTGGCATTTCCATAAATAATATTAGAGTATTACTTTATCCGTTCCATAAATAATAGTCAAGGTATATCTTCGAAGATCTATGATGAAATTATGATCACGACGACTCGAATACACCATTTGATTCTTTACTAAACTTGTTCCCATTCTAGTATTACTAAGATAGGGGGCATTCGCCGGCTCAATTAGACTAGCACAACATCAGGTTACTACTTACTTGGCTATGTAAGGCACAGACCTTATGGATGCAAGTATGGAAATGCCTTAGCCGATTTTGTGGATGGAATTGTTAGCGGAACAAACCGCACTGAACTGACCCACTGAAAAACTCCACAAAGAATCCTTATTGCATGTAACAATGGATACAATTTCTCATTGTTTGATAGTACAAATCATCCTTAGATTTAAGATTGTCGTCGAATGCTATATTTAGGCTATATTTTGATTGTACAACTGTATCCGCCTGAAACATGAGGATTATTGTGTATCTTTGAGTATGACTTGAGGGCATGATTATAGATGTACAAGCCGAAAAAATTCATCATCACTGTAAGGGATTAATTGTCTACAAGAGACCGGTAGGACTCAAATGACTTATATAACACTCAGGAATCTATGCACAATAAAGGGATCATGAAGGTGTGCACAGTAGAGTTTATAGAAGAAGACTCCTGAACTTGGAAAAGCTTTCTTTCGGTTACTAAAGAGTTAATTCAATATCCTTGCTCTTGACTGAGAGATGGATGATGAGATGAAGGAATGGACTGGTACAGCAGCCAAATGAGAAAGGTAGGTCACTTGATCTTCAATTTAGTTCTAGAACCACAAAGTTTGTCTAGTACTCTATGTGGTCATTAAATGAGTTGAACCCATTAAAGGAGTTTAATTGGACCAACTTTATTATGCTACTGGCTAAATGGGCCTAATGGATCACACACCTATATCATGTTTAATGGTATGGATTAGCACATGATTTTTGTGCTTATATAAGTTGTATGGATCTTATGTGATAATATCAAGCAAGAATGATTAAAAAATGTGTTTTAACATATGAGCTTGGCCCGTGTAGGCACAAGATAACTAGGGCTTGGAGGCGCTAATTACTTGCTCCAATGGGCCTAAGGAGTGCTACCCTAATATGATTTGCTGATATCAAATCTTATTTTTTAATTCAAATCTGAAATTTCAATTAGTTAAAATTTGATGAGATCTTAATTTAAATTTTGAATCGGAATAGGTTAAAGATATGTTAAGTTATCTTGAGTTTAAAATTTGAATTACTCAAAGGTTTAATCAGATCAAATCTTATCCTAATTTAAATTTTGAATTTGAATAAATTTAAGAAATCCTATCTTAAGTTTGAAATTTGAATTTCAAATCAGATCACATCTTATCTTAATTTAAATTTTGAATTGGTATTGTCTC